GGCACTTTGTAGCCCCATTTTAGGTATTCCAATCAGTTATAGGTAGAAGATGGACTTACAAGCTTTCTATGGTGATGTTTCTGACTATTCCTTTCTTTCCCCCTCTGGTGTCTATTTTGTATTATAATGCAAGGAAAACCAAGATTCAAAAGACTGCCGAGCATCTTAACATTATTAACCCCTTTTCCCCATTCCAACCATGGGTCAATCTCTGTATCCCAGAGCCCTGTAGTTCCAAGGTTGTGCGTGCATCATTCTTTATCTCTGTCCCACTTAGCCCATTCAAATATACCTACTTGTTCTCCCATCTGCTTTGTTCTTCCGTTTCCCTCTCCCTCCTTGTATATTGCACCCCTCCCTAGCACCGAAACTTTCCCATGTCTAATCCCTACCCTGTGCTCCACCTTCCCTTCCCTCCCCTCACCCACCACTGACTTCCCAGAAATCAACAAAAAATTCCCCCTACCCCTCTTTAGTATGGTTTCTTTTTCTTAGTCTTTTACAGTAGTGGTCCTATACAGTATTTCTCTTTTTGTGACTAATTTCACTCAGCATAATGTCCTCAAGATTCATCCATGTTATGCGGAGGCTTGCCGCTTCCTTGTTATTCTTCAAGGTAGCATAATATTTCATTGTGTGTATGTACGACAGTTTGTTTATCCATTCTTCAGTTGATGGGCACTTTGGTTGTCTCCATCTTTTTGCTATTGTAAATAGTGCTGCTATAAACATTGGTGTGCATATATCTTCTCGTGTTGTGGCTCGTTTTTCTTGTGGATAAATACCGAGTAGAGGAATTGCTGGATCATAAGGTATTTCTATTTTCAACCTTCTGAGGAAACACCATATTGCTTTCCAGAGAGGTTGGACCATTTTTCAGTCCCACCAGCAATGCAGGAGTGTCCCATTCTCTCCACATCCTCGCCAGCATTTATTGTTGTCTACTTTTTTTCATCTTTGCTGTTATTGTTGGTGTGAGATGATATCTCATTGTTGTTTTGATTTGCATCTCTCTAATGGTTAGTGATTGTGAACAGTTCTTCATATGTTTGTTGGCTGCCTGGATCTCCTCCTTGGTGAAGTGTCTGTTCATATCCTGTGCCCACTTTTTAATTGGGTTATTTGTCTTTTTCTTGTAGAGGTGTTGCAGTTTCCTGTATATTCTGGAAATGAGTCCCTTGTCTGATATGTCATTGCAAAAGATTTTTTCCCATTCTTTGGGTTCCCTTTTTACTCTTCTGGTGAAGTCTTTTGATGTACATAAGCTTTTATATTTTTAGTATGTCGCACTCATCTATTTTATCTATTTTTGTTTGTGTGGTTTTCAAAATGTTTTTGTAGTCCATGTATTCCCATAATTAGTGCCCTCACATTTGTCCCGAGTTTTTCATTGATGGCCTTCATAATTCTGAGATTCACATTTAAGTCCTTAATCCATGTTGAGTTGGTTTTTGTATAAGGTGTGAGGTGAAGGTCTTGTTTCAGTCTTTTGCATATCATTTTCCAGGTTTGCCAGCACCATCTGTTGCTTTGTGTGTGTGTTTTATAGTTTTATACAGTTGCTACAGAAAAGGCATGATGAGTATTCTTCCTTTTATTTACCAGTTTTCAAAATAGTTGTTTTCCTATCATCCTCCAGGGACAATCATTGAAGTACCTATTTTTGTGAACTCATAAATTGAAATGTATTCGCTCAAGCCATTGTCTGTTTTAATGCTCAAATTGTCTTAATTTTTAAGTAGTGGGAGCTTCTTATAGCTTGCTCCTCCTAGTCATTTTGACTTGACAACAGTCTCTGAGGGAGCTCCATGGCTCCATACGATAAGCACTGGATTGGGAACCACAAGGTGTAGGGTTCAAGCCTGCAAGCTGCTTCGTGGGAAAAAGATGAGGCTATATGCTCCTGCAACAATTTTAAAAAGCCTCAGTAGCCCTATACAGGGTCGTAATGAGTCAGAACCAACTTCACAGCATTTAACAATAACAGCAGCCTTTGAACTTTGAATTCTTCCAGGAGAGGTCCACATTATTTGAGCCCACTGACTCTCAGCTCTTTGCCCACCCCTATCCTCCCTGGGGAATCCTGGTATGGCGCTGTGGGTTAATCCACCAGACTGCAAAGCTGTTTGAACTGCAAGGTCGACGGTGCTCAAGCTCACTAGCTGCTCCTTGGAAACCCTATACAGGGTTGCTATGGGTTGGAACTGACCCAACAGCACTTCATAACAACAATATCCTCCCTGGTGTCCTGGTGTGGCACTGTAGGATAAACCACTAGACTGGTAACCACAAGATTAACAGTTCAAACCCACCATCTGCTCCTTAGAAACCCTATATAGGGTCACTCTGAGTCAGAACCAAATTGATAGCACTTAACAACAACCATCCTTCCCACCTCCTACTCCAGGAGACACTTGTGAGTTGAAAGTTAACTGAAAAACTCTGCTTCCTTAGAACACCTCACAAAGCTCGCACGTTTTACCACCTTATTGGGGTTCAACTATCTGCTAAGGTAAACAGCCAGTTCCTGATCTCAGTGGGATTCCTGATGTTGTAGTGTCGCGGGTTAATGCTCTTGGCTATAAGGTCAGTGGTTCAAGCCAACCAGCCGCTCCTCAAAAACCCTCTACACTGTCGCTATTAGTGAGAACCAACTCGACGGCACATAACATGAAATGAGTATAGAAAGGAAGAACATAAAAACTCCTAAAGAACGACCTTTATATCGGTCATTTCTAATATATATTGCTTTTTATTGGTAATTTCTGCTTTCATCTTAATCTTTCTTGATAGTACTTTTTTTTTTTTTAACACCTAATCTGTTGGTTGTCAATTTAAGGGATACACTGTAGATCCGTAAAATGCAGTGTTAGTTGTCCCATTGAGAATTTAAAATCCTGACCAATTACCTAAATCCGTTTATTTGTCTAGTGTATGGTATGTGGTTTCATCCCCTACCAAACATGTATCCCTTTCTCTGGCTCACTTCCAGAAGGTCAGCCCTGATGAGGGTAGAAGGGTATGTGTTCCCCCAAACAGTACCAGTCAGTGTTGTCTGGACAGTAGTGTGCTGACTGACACTAATTGCTATCGTTTCCTTTACATCTTGCTTGCTAGAATTCTTTTGCTTTAGTGTTAAGTTGCCCAATCTAATCTAACCCCCAAAGGGCTTCTCTGCCACCCGTCTGTGTAGTTGCAAGGAGAAGGCAGGTGGGTAATGTAACAGCTTTCAAGAGCAGGCTAACCTGAAAACACTGAGCTCTAGTGGTGGTTGTTTATAGAGAGTTTTTGCTAACAGAGTTTCGATGCTATCCTTTTATCTTTACCACAATACTACCCTTGCTCTTCACATCCTTTCTCAGTGCTGTACCTACCACAGGCAGATCCTTTTTTCCAGGACTCTGTGGTCCCAAATGACTTTGTTGTTTGTTGTTGTTAAGTACCATTTTGAGTTTCAGAGGTCTTCTAGGCAAGGAAAGTTATCCCATCAAAGAAAACCCCTTTCTAGGACCAAAAGTTGAAGGGAACCAGCCAGCAATATGCTTGCTGATGCATCATTGACCTTGAGATGAAATAAGAGGGAAAGCTGATTGTTTTGAAGTGCAGGGAGGTATGTGCGAATTCCCAAGCTTACAGCTGGTACTCATTTGACTTAGCTTGGATGGCTAGAGTTGTTGAGCTGACTAGACCCTGAGCAGATGAATATGAAGATGTTTAATGCTCTGAGAAGCATCAGTTGCTACAATTTGATGGACTGGACTTTTGCTTATGGATGCAGTTCCTGAAAATTCCAATTAGAATGAAAGTCTCTTCAAATCGAGGAACATGCATGTCTTCTCAGTGTACTGGATTGGTAGTATGGGCAATTTAGACATTATTGCTCTGGTAGCATAGTGGTTACGAATTGGGCTGCGAACCACAAGGTCAACAGTTCAAAACTACCAGCTGTTCCGCAGGAGAAAGATGAGACTTTCTACTCCTGTAAAGATTCATAGCATCGGAAACCCTGTTCAGGATCGCTATGGGTCGGAATTGACTCGACAACACTTAACAACAACAACCATTGAGTAGGTTCCGACCCATAGCAACCTTGTATAGAGTTTCTGAGGAGTGGCTGGTGAGCTTGAACCACTAAGCCTGCAGTTCAAACCAACTTTGCAGTCTAGCACATTTAGCCCACACTAAGCCCATAAAATTTGAAAAATTCCTTTTTTTAAAAGCAGTTAAACATTTTGAAGACTTAAATTTAGAGCGTATTTCACTCTGGAGTTAGCTGTAGAGGGCTTGTTGATAATCCTGCTCACATGTACACAAGGGAAGTTTAATGAAAATAATTTCTATCCTTTTGGAAATATGATCTAACACAAAGAATATGAACTTGAGCAACTTACCATACAAAGTTTCTTTTTCTGTACTTATGTTTATGTTTTACAAACTGACAGTCGAGTTCAGACTTAAAGTGAGTAATGAGTTCTGTATGGTCCAGGGGAACTTGCCACTTTGAAGCCATTGGAGAGTCTTTTGGGGAGGAGACTAAGAAAAGAGAAGTGTGGTTGATTACTGCTGAAAGCTCTTAGGTGGATAGAAGTTAAGGAAGAACAAATCTCCTCCCATTGAGAATCAGGAACTAGCTGGTCACCTTAGCAGATAGGGTTGAAACCCTTTAAGGTGGTGAAAACATGCCAGCTTTGTGAAGTGTTCTTAGGGAACAGAGCTTTTCAATAACTTTCAACTCACAAGTTTGATACCTAGGTGAGTCCAGGGAGTTTCAAGTAAATGGATTTCATCATTGAAAAAGAAACATATTTACTTGCTCGTTTTGAAAAAGTTAATGTGTTAGAGAAATAGAACTCTTTGACATATTTTTATTTTTTATTTGTAACAAGCTATGTTGGCAGCATCCTGTAACCTAAAAGGACTTTCTCAATCTGAGGAATAATGAGTAGAGCTGAGTTTTTACCAAATGTTGAGTACTCAGAGTTTCGTTGGGCTTCTTACAGGTTCACCGGAACAGCACAGTCCGTGCTGGCTGTGAAGTGAGTCCGTCCTGTGCGCTGTGTGGCTCCGGCAGTGTCAGCACCATGCCTCCTGAAATCCACTATGAAGCCCCTCTGTTGGAACGCCTTTCCCAGCTGGACACTTGTGTTCACCCAGTTCTAGCATTTCCAGATGGTAAGAAAAGCCGCAAGAGTATAGTCTAATAAATGAGTCTGAAGAAGGTTCCAACTGAAAGGAAGTCCACCTAGGTCTTGGTACTACTCACGCTCTGTCAACAAAGGCTTCTCTTAGAATTTTGAAACAAGGTTTGACATATCCACCAGACCTGAGTGTGCTCCTGAAAGATCGTAACTTCCTGAGAGAGATTTCCCCTTCACCCTCCAGGTAACCTATAGGGAGGGACCTGGACTCAATCGCCTCTACCCATAAGCAACCTGGTCTGTTTAACCCAGTACATATTTTTGTATTGTATTTATGCCATTATGTATAAGGATAGAACTTTTCTAGAATATCTTCTCTTTGGGATGCACATACTCCTGGGGGATATGTGACCATTTCCAGGTGTACATAAGTAACAACCACCTCACCTCACTGCCATGGAGTCAGTTTGGACTCATAGCTTCATCTTTGTCCCATGGAGCAGATCGTGGGTTTGAACTGCTGAACCCACCATCTACTCCATAGGAGAAAGATAAAGGATAAGCATTGGGATTGTGGGATAGCTCCTTTTGCTTAAAGTTCAGGTCCTTAATATTACTGTAGGTCTGTTCTTCTTCTTGGTAAGTGTGCATCAGCCATTTCTCCTTTCCCCCTCTCACTGCACAGAGGGAAGCTATCCCCTCCTCATACTGGGTCTCACTGTGGGCCTTGGCCCAGAGCGTTAGAAATCTGGGAAAGTGGGGTCACCAAACAAAGGGACCGTTTATAAAGAGTCGCTGTGGCTCCTGAAGGAAAATTGCTGGGAGTATTTTAGGGTGTACAAAGTGAGTAAAAAGGAGTTATGAATTAAAAACATAAAAAGTGAAGGTTGGAGGTACTTTGTTTAGACTACTGTGTGTGTTACATTTCTGTGTCCTGTCTTCTATCTCAGAATAAACACTGAGACTTCATGATTTATTCTGAATAGATGATGTGGCATTTTTTTTTCTTGACGTAATCTAGGTTTTGAGTAAGAAAAAAAAAAAGATAAAATACAACCTTTGCAACGATCTGAGGGTTGTTTTTGTTGTTGTTAATGTTTTTATTTCAAATGGCAGTGCTTTATAAAGCCAGGAACCATGATAGAATGGTTTCATTGATTATCCAATAACTTTATGATTTGACCCCATCTTACAAAAAGTGCAAATTGCTATGGTATTTTGTCTATATTATGGGGTTTTTTGTGTGTACTTACCATTTTTTTGTTACTAAATTTTAAGCTCCTTAGGGATAAAGGACTGATGTTTCGTTTTCTGTCTTTCATACATAGCACTTTACTGGTAGACTGTGCATTGCTTTAAAAAGAAAGGCTTTACTTGGTGTATGAGAGCGGGGAAAGCCCAGAAGTTTCAGCATGAGTTTTATAGAGACCTGGAGTTGGCATACTTTCTTACAGGTCCAGGTGTGATGGATATTTTAGACTTCGTAAGTCCTGGTGTGGCACTGTGGGATAATGCACTGGACTGCAAAGTCTGTTTGAACTGCAAGCTCAGCATTTCAAGCTCACCAGCCTCTCCTCAGAAACCCTATACAGGGTCGCGATGGGTTGGAACCAACTCGATGGCTCTCAGCAACAACAAGGCACGCAGTCTGTGTCACAATCAGGGCTTCCTAAATTGTTGAGTAGTGTGGAAACAAGAGCAGCATGTGCAGTGCACGGCAGCCAGGTCTCTTACACATCAGGTTTGGATGGAAGCGGGCAGTGCCGTCCTGCTCTTAGATGGTGCCTGAGTCAGAACACTGTCACATGTCACAGAACAATTTGCAAGTGAATTACTGATTGAAAACTTATTTTGCTCTGGTAACTTTTACCTAAAGCACAATGAAATATTCACGTATCCCAAAAGGGGACACCCACAACCCTTGTTCTGAAGGATTTCTCTTCTAATTGACAGTTGATCAGACTGTGGGTCACTTTAATCCCCTCTACTGCATCTGTTCTTCAAATGATTGTGTTGTATCTTGGCCCCCTAAAGTCTATGGTACTCCATGGCTTGTTACTAAAATCCCCTGCACTCTGAAAAAGCACGTGATATTATTCTTGTCACCACATGATTTCTAAGAGCAAAAAAATGGTTAGAAAACTTGAAGCATAGAGATAGCAAGCTACTCGGGGCTTTAGGTCAGGAGTGGTGGAGCCAGGGCTACGGACAGGTTCTTCCCAATACAGGTATTTCCAGTGAAGCGAAACTGGAGTGGACCGGAATTTGGATTTGGTAAAATGTGGGTATACCAGACGATGTAACCAGAACAGGAAAAAAAAAGTTGATGCCCTTAATCGCCATCTTAGAAAACATGAGCAGCATGTGCGCTACATAGTAACCAAATCTCTTGAATGGCAAATTCGAAAACTATAATGCCCCACTCAATAATGGTTCCAACCGTGTGGCTTTGACTGTGTCCCTCTGCACATTCCTGGTAATAATCCAGCCTCCTGCGGCAAACCCCTGCAAAGACTCCTCCTGTCTTTTCTGGGGCTTCACCCATAGTTTTCCTTTTCTGATTACCATTTCACTTCATCCAAATTTCACAAAGTGGAGACCACTAAAGCCTTTCCTCTGTGCTTCTGGTCCCAGAATCAGTGGCTCATGCCTTTGCTGACCATTTAGGTGTAATCTAAGATTAAATGGCTAATGAGCTGGAATGGCTGTCGAAGTCATATCCAGGTCCTCTGATGGCTGTCTTTCCTTACTACAGTGCATGTTTCTTTCCAGCCAGAGTATTAAGAGAAATCGCTTTCCTAACCTATATCAGGACTCTGGCTGCAGACCGAGCCTCCAAGAAGATTTAGAAACATTTCTTGGGTTATACTCTCAGGATTACCGTGTTGAATTGCATGGTCTAATGTTTGGAGACAGGCAGGAAAGCAGCCTGAAGCCTGTAGTTGCTTTATGATTCTGTACGGTGATCCGCTGATGAACTTGGTGATCATTCCTTTGTTAGCAGTATTATCTTGTACACCCCGTCAATATAGCTTCATGTCCACCTTGCTGGCATCTCGTATTCCATTACTCTATATCCCTACTAAGCAGTTCCCTTTTCCATTAGTACTTTGTCATGCTGACTGACCAGGATGACCACTACTCTGCTGCCACGCCTTCCCTTCCCCTACTCCATCCCTTGCCAAGCAACTATTAAGTCTGAGGTCTGAGGTAGGGGGAAAGGAGGAAAGATACAGAGTACCCTTGTCTCTACTGTTCACAATTTAAATTTTTTTGCCTGTGATTAAATTCTCTCTCTCTCTCTCTCTCTCTCTCTCTCTCTCTCTCTCTCTCTCTCTCTCACTCTCACTCTCACTCTCACTCTCACTCTCACTCTCACTCTCACTCTCTCACAGAAACGCACACACACGTGTACACAGCTCCCAGCCATGGCACTGGGCTTGCAGAGAGTTTAAGTCGGTGTTTTGCCATCCTACAGAATATCATATTTGCCCTTGATTTAATTAGACTTCTGTGGGTTGGCCTGGAGCCTTATCACCCTATTTAATATTGTTCCTATTTATATAACTTTTCTATGATCTAATCAACTGCCACGTTCAGAACATAGTCACTTTGTAATGTAGATGTTTCCCAGGGTCACCGGGCTTCACAACTCTAGGGTGCACCATTCCCATTATCCCCATGTAAGTGGTGTGCTGAAGTGTTGGGCTCCATATCTGCTGTTGTAGAGAACGTTGCTTCCTAGAACTTGTAGGAAACAGTGAAGACCAGTGAGTGACTCAACATGTGGAGTAGCCCTTAGGATCTGAGGGTTGAGATCTCATGTGCCTGCAGGGCCAACCAAGTCATTGAAATGACTAAAGAAGCCCGAATGGGTCTGAGACAAAGTAGATAGCTCGTGTCCTATTTCAAGGGAGAGTTGCTACTTATGCTCCAGCTCACAGTAACCATGCAAACCCAGTATTGCTACAAGTTTCACTTTATAATCATTCAAAATCTTTAATGTTGTGTGGGCCAAACATGTACACCAGACCTGCTCTGTGGGCCACTCTTTTGCAACCTGTCTCTGAAAGATGTTCAAAGGTGACAGGATGTCTAGCTTTCATATTCCTGGCAAACTAAATATAGCTGAACCTCATTCTTTGATTTCTATAGATGCTTATGTCTGTCTATATCAAACCATGTTAGGAAAATGGTTACATTGCATTACTAATGTCTTTGTTCCTTGGATGAGTGTTCAGGTTTCCTCCACCACCTTTGTTAGGTGCCATCAAGTTGGTTGCAACCCTGTATAGGGTTTCTGAGGAGCAGCTGGTGAGCGTGAACTACCAACCTTGCAGTTCAGGCAACTCTGCAGTACAGCACATTAACCCACAGCACCACACCAGGACTCCTCTACTACCTTTGTTGTTGTTATTAAGTGCTCGGGGTGACACCTTACTTAATCAAGTCCAGGGAATCTTTAGCTGGGAATAATGTTGTTAGGTGTTAGGAAGTCAGTTCCGACTCAGAGCGACCTTATGCACTACACAACAAACACACTGACTGGCCCCACCTCATCCTCACAATCGTTAAGCTTCAGCCTATTGCTACTGTCATTGTGCATATCTATGTTGTTGGAGGTCTTTCTCTTTTTTCTGACATTCCACTTTACCAAGCATGACATCCTTCTCTAGGCACTGCTCCTTCCTGATAATATGTCCAAAGTATGAGAGACCAAGTCTCACCATCCTGGCTTCTAAGGAGCATTCTGTGGTGGTGCTTTTTTCAACAAAGATTTGTTGGTTCTTCTAATATTCTTCTCCAACACCATAACTCAAGTGCAACAATTCTTCTACAGTCTTCTTATTCATTATCACGTGCATATGGGGTCGGATGCAACTTAGTTCTCAAACTGACATCTTTGTTCTTTAAAAGAGACCTTGTATAGCAGATTTGCCTGATGCAATTTGTCATTTGATTTCTTGACTGCTGTTTTCATGGTAATGGAGCCAAGCAAAATGACGTCTTTGACAACTTCAATCTTTTCTCCACTTATCATGATGTTGCTTAGAGGTGAGGTTGTGAGGATTTTGTTTTCTTTACATTGAGGTGCACCCATACTGAAGTATTTGATCTTCATCAGTTAAGTATTTTAAGTCCCCTATGCTTTCAACAAGCAAGGTTGTATCTTTTGCATATCACAGGTTAATTGTTAATCCAATCCTGATGCCATGTTCTTCATCTAATCCAATTTCTTGTTTCTTCAGCATACAGATTGAATAAGTATAGAAAGAGAATACAACTCTGTCGCACACATTTCCTGATTTTAAACCATTCAATGTCCCCTTGCTCTGTTTGAACAACTGACTCTTGGTCTGTGTACAGGTTTCTCTTGAGCACAGTTAAGTGTTCCGGAATACTTATTCTCCTGAGTGTTGTCCATAGCTTGTCATGATCCACATAGTCAAAAGCCTTTGTGTAGTCAGTAAAGCACATTCCATGTCCTTGTCTGAGTCTGGCTTGAACCTCTGACAGTTCCTGTCAATGTACTGTGGAAGCCAGTTTCTGATTACCATGCATAAAATTTTACTTGTGTGTGATATTAATGATTTGTGCATTCTTTTGGGTCACCTCTCTTTGGAATAGGCACAGATAAGAATCTCTTCGATCCAGTTGGCCAGGTAGCTGTCTTCCAACTTTCTTGGCATAAATGAGTGAGTGTCTCCATTGCTGCATCAGTTAGTTGAAATATTTCAGTTTGCATTTCATCAATTCCCAGAACCTTGTTCTTTGCCAGTGCCTTCTTCAGTACACTCTGGATTTCTTTCAGTACCATTTGCTCTTGATCAAATACTGTCTCTTGAAGTGCTTAAATATCAACCATTTAGTATAAGGACTGTATTCCTTCCATCTTATTCTGATGCTTTCTACATCATTCAGTATTTTGCCCATAGAATCTTCAATATTGCAAGTCGAGGTTTTTTTTTTTTTTTCTTTTAGTTCTTTTATTAAAGGCCAGTGATGGTGAAACTGAAAAATTCTACCAACTTCTTCAATCTGAAATTTATCAAATATGCATTCAAGATATATTGACTGGTGATTGGAATACAAAGGTTGAAAACAGAGAAGTATAATTGGAAAATACAACAACCATGTTGTATCATGGTTGCATCTCCAGAAATGATGCTTTAGCTCTTACGGTAGAATTTCACAACACCAATGACTTATTCGTTGCAAACACCTTTTTTAAACAACATAAAAGGTGACTGACTTATACACATGGATCTCTCCAGGTGGAATACACAGAAATTGAATTGAGTGCATCTGTGGGAAAAGATTGTAGAAAACCTCCCTATAATTAGCCAGAATAAGGCCAACGGCCGACTGTGGAACAGACCATCAATTGCCCATATTCAAGTTCAGAATGAAGCTAAAGAAAATTAAAACAAGTCCTTAAGAGCCAAAATATGACCTTGAACATAACCCCATGTGAATTTACAGATAAAACTCAAGAACAAATTTGATACATTAGACATTAATAAATGAAAACTATAAGCGTTGTTGGATGACATCAAGAAAATCATACCAGGAAGAAAGCGCAAAGGGTCATTAAAAAGACAAGAAAGAGGAAAAAGACCAAAATGGGTATTAGAAGAGACTCTCAAACTGCTGTCCAGCGTAGCAATGCACAGGTGGTATTGGCCCAGGTGTGCAGTGTTGTCAGCGTCCGGGTCAGAGCATTAAGGGAGTGCCAGCTAAGGCTTGGGGAGTCCTGCTGTGGTGCTGTAGGTTAATGCACTGGACTGTAAAGTTGATTTGAACCACAAGACCGGTTGTTCAAGCTCAGCAGCAGCTTGTTAGAAATCCTTTGCAGGGTCCCTAGGTTGGAACCGACTTTGACGGCACTTACCAGCAACACAAAGGTTAAGGCTTTAGTTGAAGAGGCTTTGTTGAGCACCTCCTGGAAGTCATCTATTCTAGCTATTAAAAAAAAGAAAGAGTATTCTTCCATTGTGTTCTAGCATCAGGTGCTGCAGAGAGAGAATTGGATTCCTTGTCACTTGTAGGTGTGTCTACTTTCTTCTTTTAAGCTTTTTTCGAAACAAAGAACAAACCAAACCTGTTGGCTTTAACACTCAGTCCCCTCAGAGCAGTTTGAGGACGAGTGGCCCCTTAGTAAACTGTGGCCTGGGGTGGCGCTGTGGGAGAAAGCACAGTTTTTGTTTTTATAAGAATGGACGATACAAGAAACAGTGACACACAAAACAACAACAACAACAACAACAACCCCCCCCCACCCCCCCCAAGTCTGAAAGATTGTTGCTTTGTGATCATAGTCACCTAACAGTATAATCTGGCCGGGGGGTAGGGGTGGGGAGTGCTAGAGGAGAAAGGAAAGACTCAAAAATAAAATTATTATTTGAAATTACTGAATGAGTAAATCCTCATTGAAGGTATTGATAGGAAGAAGTGGGCTTAAATGTTTCAAATCCCCAGAAGACTAGAAACAGAATGTGCTGTTATCGCGATCTTTCAAACTAATAATATCAACAAACTTAGTCGAATACATGGGATAAAGAAACACTCCCTTATAGCTATCTTATAAAAGGTGTTTGAGATTTTTTTATTTTTTAAAACTTGAAAATGAAAGACAAAAGTAACTTGCTTATGAACTGAAGAATTACTTTTAGGAAAGTTCTCATAAGCGAATGTGTGGCAGCAGTTTGCCCTGCTGGGTTCCCAGGCCACAGGGCAAATAGGAGACAGGTGTGATGTAGGTGAGAGCCAGACTTCAGGTAAGTGACCTCATTCAGGAGGAAGTGGCTCAGAGGTCAGGTGTCTGGACTAAGCTACAGTGTTGTGTGTTTCTTACAGATGTCCCCACAAGCCTGCACTTCCAGAGCATGCTGAAGTCTCAGTGGCAGAACAAGCCTTTTGACAAAATCAAACCTCCTAAAAAATTCTCCCTTAAGCACAGAGCGCCCATAGCAAGCAGTCTACCAGATCCAACTCGGAAAGACAGGCACAAGTTGGTCAACTCCTTCTTAACAACAGCCAGTAAGTTTCAGGGGACCAGGGTATCCTTGAGTTCATTTTCTATTTATTTGATATTTGTAAGTTACTGATGTGACATGGTGCAATGTGTCTTGGTTGGAAGTAGCAGTTGACTGACAAATTCAGCTCACAGTCTACCTCTGCCTGTCTCGGATGTTCTCAGATGAACTTGGACTATTCCAGATATCATGGAGCTTGGGGCGTGACCCAGAATGCTTAGGGAGCAGCCAGCTGTGCTGTGGCCCTGGGTGCATCTCTTGGCAAGCTGTCTTTTGTAGCTGGTGTGACATGTCCCTGGTTGAGGAATCTGTCAGCTCCCTGTGCCTGTCTTGGCCACTGTGTTATTTACTAGAGGCTTCAGTCCCAGGGGACTGTCCTGCTGCCTTTCTAAGCCTAGAAGGGTTACTGGGTGTATAGTGTCGGTCTAGAGAGACCTCAAGAGCTCGGAACTCAAATAAGGAAAGATTTGAGAGAAGGTATTTCACAGCTCCTTTTCTGTTCCCCCCCTTCAGAGCTGTCCTATCACCAAATCCGACCTGACAGGACCCACAGACAGCACTTAGACGATGTGGGGGCTGTGCCCATGGTGGAGCGAGTGACAGCGCCCAAAGCAGAGCGCTTGCTCAACCCGCCGCCACCCGTGCATGACCCAAACCACAGCAAAATGAGATTGCGAGACCACTCATCTGAGAGAAGTGAAGGTAGGGCCGGGCCGGCCCCTCTGCCTGCATTTGTGCCTGCTCCTGCTCAGGGCTTTCTGGGGCAGCCTGGGCTGCTCGGAATTGCCCCCCAGCTTTGTCTTTCCCTTTCTAGGAAGGCAGAGTGGGGGTGGGGGGGGTCCTACACTGCTTCTAAATGCAGGTCATTTCTTATGCTGCAGCAACCTCTGCCCAGCCCCCTACCTGCATCAACCAGTTTGCTTCACCTTTTTATCTTCTAGGCTTAGAAAGCATTTTTGCCTTGAACATGTATTGCTGGCATTCTTAGCTTGCACGAGCAGCAGACCTTGATGGAGGTGGTGATGTAGTTCTCTCTTTTCTGTTGACTTCTGCAGTGTTGAAGCATCACACAGACATGAGCAGCTCAAGCTACTTGGCAGCTGCTCAGCCTCCAGCACACAGTCCCCTGGTGCGTCAGCTCTCCACCTCATCAGACACCTCTGCTCCCAGCAGCTCGGGCTCACAAGTCACAGCCAGCACATCTGTAAGTACCTGTGTGGACTTGCTGGGACTTACCCATTCTTGTGGCACTGGAGGACAGTTGACAATGGGCAGGGGTGGGAATTCAGCTCATGGTGATGTCTGTGGCCTTTTGAGGTCCAAGTGGGCTTTCTGTTAAGTTGGTAGACTAAGATCTAGACAGAACCCTGTGACTTCTCAGGGTCTGTGAGAGCACATTCCCACAGGATCAACAATCCCATGGTCCTGGTAAGTGGGACTGGAACACTGACAATAAGCTCTGGGTGCGTGGGTGCTTGGAAGATAAAGGAGAAGGCAGAGCCCCGGTTGTGTAGGTGACAGACCTGGATTGCAGACCTGGTAGCACCTACATGCCCTGGTCTCCTGGTGGCAGGCCATCTGACCCCTCGCCCCCTGGGTACTATTAGCACAGTCATTCCAGACGCGTAGGCCTGTTCATTTCTCTCTCGTATTTTAATCTCCAAAGGAGTGTGTCCTTGAACCTATCAATGCTTTGTTCCTATGAACTAGAGTTCTTTGTGGAATCATTGTAGCCATAGTAGTAAAGTGCTGCCATTGTACTATCTACTGGACACTTAGTTTGAATCAGTACGAAGTGTTGTACGTGTGTTAGCTCATTTAGTCCTAGAATACACCTTTGATTGAGATATAGGTGATTATATTAGGGATTCCCATTTTTAGACAGGGAAACTGAGGCTTTTTTTTTACAAAGTAAGCTGTTGTAAGGCAAGGTGGCTTGTGAGAGTTGTGATTGTGATTCATACCAGGCAGTGTGACTGCAGGGCCAGCTCTCCCACTTCACAGTCTCAGCCGGAGGGAGGAGTGCAGCGTAGCTCAGGACACCAAAATGTGCTCATCAGGCCCCTCTCGTCAGGTAGGAATTCACCGTGTTCTCTCTGCTTCTAGAAATCAGGCAGTCTTTTCCACAGGACGTCATTGCTCCGCCCCTCTTTCCACCTTACGCATACCCAAAATTTTTGTCTAAATGGATGTGTAGGATCCATCACACAATTGATTTTCCACCAGCAAAGTCCTCAAAGAATAGAAGTCTGAATTCTGAGCTCCAAGACTAGGTCAGCACTGCAGTGTTGTGCTGTTCTCAGCTGCCTGGCCATCTTTGTTTAAAGAATGTTCATGTAGACCTGAAGCACTTGAAATTTTATTTGCTTTTTTAATACAAATTTTGTACATAGCACTTTTCTTGTTGCTGAATTTCTTCAAAGAATCTGGGCTATTTAAGAGTGAGATGAGGTGATAGACCATGCACCTGTAATCAGGAAGAGGTGCAAGAGGACCTGGGAGAAAGCGGGACGTGGGGAATGTTTACGGCAACACTCCACCAAAGTCAGTGATTGTACTAGTGGCTTTGAAAAAATAACCTCTAAAGATTCTGATTTAGGCAATTAGGAGGGTGGGGCATTCCAGGAAAACACTTATACTTTTTTTTTTTTTTTTAAACTCTCCTGGACCAGCCAGGTTAGAATCTTTTCTATTCTTATTACTTGCTGACTCTGGCTCTGAAGAACTTAGACCAGATGCATACCTTATGGAATGTGGGGGAGTTTGGGTGGAGGGTGAGGCCTGTTGAACAGTCCCACATCTACTGCGCTTTCTTTTCCTTGAAGATACTAACAGTAGCAGGCCCAAGAAGATTGAGGGGAAATTACATTTTTGGGAAAGTACCTGTTTCTGACAGCTGTGTCACATCACTCTTGGCTAAGATATTTGAGGCTTCCAGAGGGTTTACTTCTTGTAGGGGTGTGTGTATCCATTCTCCCTACCCCAGCAGGGATGTGGCAGTGGCAGCTGCCTTTGGGGGTGAGGTCACTAATCCTTAGCTGTAGAAGTCTGACAGGCAAGATTTGCTAAAGTCTCTTCAACCCTATTAGTTAACCAGTTACACTAAAATTGTGAGGTCAGTGACATTCTGTTGTCATCTGGTAGAGAAGGAAATTGACATGAGAAGGCTGCTGTGAACACCTGAAATGCTAGATGCTAGGTGAGGACAGCTGAAATCCTGGCCCAGGAAGTACTGGCTTTTCATAATCTCTGAGAAGAAGAGTAAACAATAGTTTATCACCTTCCAGGAACAGAGGGTAGTGGTGAGTTGTAGAAGGCTCTCTTCCTAGTCTTCCTCCAGCAGCCCCTTTCCTGTGGGATGTCCTCATGTGCTGGTTGAGGTCTGAGTGCAGCCCCTTAGTGCCTCCTGCAGTCTGGTCGCCATGGCAGCATGTTTGTCATCCCACTGTTTCCCTCTGGCTGTTCACAGCTCATTTGCCAGTCTGTTTCAGGGTAGAGTTTCTGCTTTCTGGGCAGAAGTAGTTGGTGAACTCTTTCTTCCATTTTAGAGACCAAGCCCTTGGCTTGCCTGCTTTATTTTTTGCTTGATCTCCCACCTGTAGTAAATGCCCACCTCCTCCTCTGATACTGGAGGTCTTAGAATTTTTATTTCCTGGGACTTTGATCTTGTCAACTTGTGTAGAAGCAGATCTGCTTTCTCCAGGGTTGAGCTATATGGGCAGGTTCCTGTCTTTAGTTTCCTTCTATTGATAAAGAGCTCAGCTCTTTCCCCAAGAATAGTAGCTACTAATGAGAAATCACATACAGGCTGAGCAGACGGTGGGTGCAGACTTAGCTAGAGTTCGGAAAAGGAGGCAGTGCCTTTCATGGTAACCGAGGTTAAGTGACCTGTTGAGTTGGGCCTAGACTTTGAGTCTCTCTCAGGAATAATTCAGGGTACCCACCTTATAAAATTCACCCAAGCTCTTCATATGGGCCCCTGGAGCAAGAAGGTTGGCAAGAGGACTTGTGAATGAAATTGCGTTTTTGAGACCACTTGACATTTCCCCTGAGGGCTCTAAGGTAGGGCACCCTTCTCTGTGTGAGCCACTGCACCCCTGCACCAGAACCCAGATATTGGTGCTATTGTTTTAAACCGCAGGTAAAATGATTTGATGTTTGTAGAGTTGTACTTCCTTTTTGAACTTCCCTTTGTCTTAACAGCAGCCAATAAGGAGGAGACGGGGAGAGAGCTCATTTGATATTAACAACATTGTCATCCCAATGTCTGTCGCTGCAACAACCCGAGTGGAGAAACTACAGTACAAGGAGATCCTGACTCCCAGGTAGAGGCCCAGTGTGGCTGGCTTCCATCCTTGTTTCACATGTCATTGCCCTTTGCCCTCTTCTCACCAGCCTTAGACCCCTACCTTCCACTATGTGAACATACCAACTAGTCCAGAGGTCACTGTCTGGCAGGTGGCTGTCCGGGTCTGATCTGTACGTGTTTTGTTTGACACACAGTGTGTTTTCACATAAACTGTCAAAGCTCAGGATTTCATAAGCATTTTTTTTATTTTCCACTTTTGTTGACAAATGAGACAATTGGGGGAGCCTTGTGTATTCGCATAGAGTAGTAATCAGTTGGTACTGAATCATTATTGCTGTTGTTTGCCATCAAGTCGGTTCCAACCCATAGCGACCCTGTATAGGGTTTCCAAGGAGCAGTTGGTGAGCTTGAACCACTGACCATGTAGTTCAAACGACTTTGCAGTCTGACGCATTAGCCCACAGCGCCACACCAGGACCCCACTGAATCATGGTGGTGGTTCCCTTTAAACAATTTCTTTCCTTGAGTTTGTCACTGTCTCCCAGCCCCAGCCCACTGCCCCCTATTTTGGGCCCTGGTGGACATTTGATTGTGTGGCCTGTTCTAGAGGTCAGCTTGAAATAGGGAGAGCCTGCCCAGCAGGGCGCAGTGCCCACCTACAGGTGCCAAGTCCTAGCTCACACATTGTACTCACATGGATACGTGGGTGCTACCCCAGGCTGTAGTCTCCTTGCCTTTTACTGACTCTCCCTTCTTGTTTTTGAAGCTGGCGGGAAGTTGATCTTCAGTCTCTGAAGGGGAATCCTGATGAAGAGAATGAGGAGGTAATGGACACACACACACAGCTGGTGCATCCAGATCCCTCAAGAGCTGGGGGCCAGGTGGCACGCTTCTTGTACTCCTGGTCATGGTGGAGAAGAGCCAAGTGTGGGGTGGGGCTGGCCCTAGGATTGATCTGTCCTGACCTAAATTCGGCTTCCTAGAGGAAGGAGATCAATGCAGCTGCTCTGTTGCAGATTGAGGACCTGTCCGATGCGGCCTTTGCCGCCCTGCATGCCAAATGTGAGGAGATGGAGAGGGCGCGGTGGCTCTGGACCACGAGTGTACCACCCCAGCGACGTGGCAGCAGGTGATGGGGCAGGCACAGGTTGTCAGGGCCTCTGGGAGGGAGGTTGGACAAGTAGTTGAGGACCTCCATGCATTTATGGAATTGCCAAGGCCTCTCAGCTTCTCTTCATCGCCATCCTCGAGCAGCCATCTGTTGTGTTTGTTGGGCACTGATGCGTCTCAGGTGTCCACTGCTGAGTCCTTGTTGCGTGGTCACTGTCCCACTGTGACACATGGGCTCCAGTAGCAGGCAGTCTTGCATCTGGGGGCTGCTAGGACGTCATGGGAATTGAGCCAGAGGAGCTTGGGGAGCCTGCTGGAAAGGATTGTCCTCTTCCATGGACACACCACCAGCCTGTCCCCATGTATTGTTCATGGTTGCGTGAGTGTCAGGATCCTCAAATGGAAGGCCTTGGGTGGAGGCTCTTGTTTTTTGTTTTGTTTTGTTTTACTACAGTCGGTTGGGACTGTGCTGGGGATCCCACCCCAGCACTTTTTGTCCACAGTTCTTAAATCTCATCCTGTGGTCCTGCCCCTCCAGTCAGTGGTAGAAAGAAGCCAGGGGACTCAAACACTCATAGGAAAGATGCTTGGGGTGGGGTGCTTTTCCATCGCTCCCCCCACACCGCAATAATCAACAGAAGGCCTGTGGCCTGATACTCAGGTTTGCCTTTCTTGGTGTAAAGGTCTTACAGGTCATCGGATGGGCGGACGACCCCCCAGCTGGGCAGTGCCAACCCCTCCACCCCTCAGCCTGCCTCCCCTGATGTCAGTAGCAGCCATTCTTTGTCGGAGTTTTCCCACAGCCAGTCCCCTCGGAGCCCCATTAGCCCGGACCTACTCTCGGCTCCCCTCACCCCTGTGGCTCGGGACACTCTGCGACACCTAACCAGTGAAGACACCCGGTGTTCCACGCCAGAGCTGGGGCTGGATGAGCAGGTGAGAGCTTCTTCCTTTGGGTGGGGTTGTGGGGTTGGGGAAGGGGCAGCAGATGCTGAAGATGGGTCTTCATCTGGTGGTGCCCTTGTCCCTTTCTGAAGGACTTGGGGCTGTCCTTGACAATGACTCTCTTAAAGGTGCCTTGGGGCTGGATAGGCTGTTTTTCAAAGGGAGTTCAACCTGGGGGCTCTCCCAGCTGCCCCGGGAACTCAGGAGAGATTGGTGGTAGACTTCAGTCCTCACCAGGGTGTCTTGTCTCCCCACAGTCTGTCCAGCCCTGGGAGCGGCGAACTTTCCCCCTGGCGTACAGTCCCCAGGCAGAGTGCGAGGACCCCCTGGATGCACAGGAACGGGCAGCTCGCTGCACTCGGCGCACCTCAGGCAGCAAACCTGGCCGGGAAACGGAGGTGGCCCCCACCTCACCTCCTGTTGCCCCCCTCAAAAGTCGGCATCTGCTGACAACAGTCACAGCGCAGCGTCCAGCTCACAGATGAGTGGGTACAGGAATCGAAACAGACTCATTATACTATTGGCATTAAAGCTTCAGAAATCTCTGTGTTTGATATTCAAACATCATATGCCAGAAATTTTCACAGTTTTTAGTGAATTTAAGGAATTTAGATCCTACTTTGGTCTCTTTTTTTTTTTTTTTTTCCTTGTTTTGATTTTTGTTTTGTTTTGGTTTCCATATTTTCTTGTCACACACCTGAGCACTCCCTCCAGTTGGCAAACACAAGTTCAGGATAAGAGCCTGCTGGCCCAGCCCCAGCCCCCCTGCACAGTTGAATCACTGGACTCACCATGCTACAAGGTCTGTGGGCAGACATCCCAGGATGGAAAGCTGTAGTTCAGCAATGCCTTCTAGGTTGGGATGGGAGAGAGCAGGCTACCCAGCTCTTCCCCCTTCCCTCCCTCTGTGGCTGGGCTGGCTGTGCTGGAGCACCCCCCAGTGGCGTCTCTCTGCCATGACTGCCGGATGCTTTCGGAGGCAGAGGCTGCCCAATGAACCTAGAGAACCACTGGGGGCTGTGTATTGGGTCATCTTGGGTTTGACTCCTTCACTGCAGTAACCTGGCTGCGGCTGCTCAGGTCCCCATCCTGCCCGTTCCCCACCCCATCATGCACACACCGTCCTGCCCCTCGGAACATTTTTGCCCTCCCTCCTAGTCTGTAAAGTCAGGGTTAGGACTACTTGGCCTCTTGTTCCCACTCCCTGCAAACTAGGGGGTTTGGGAAGGAGCAGCCATTTCTGCTGACTCGCACCCCTTCCTCTTCCATGCCCCCTGGCCTCTGGCACACTGTCTGGTCCCCACTTCTCAGTAACCTGTGCCTGTCTCATGTATAATCACATCACCAAAAAGGGGTGGGCGGAGAAGGTGGGGGTTTTTTTTTTTTTTTTTTTTTTTGCCATTTTGTAATCGTATAAAAATAGTAGACAACTGCTTAATGGTTGGGGTTTTTTCACAATTTTCAACATTAGTGATTTCTTTTTGGTTCTGTTTGCAAGTTAAAAGATTTGTCATTGTTACTTTAAAAACAGTAATGCACCATATCCCTATGCATAAAGTGCTTCTTCTATTTATGAGGTTGGAAATTCTGAATAACCCTTTTAGCATTGTAAAAAAAAAAAACAAACAAAAATGGAAAAAAAACCCTTGTATTTTGTAAATATTTTCTTTTCCTGCTTTGAGCTGTGTGACGGCAGCGAGGTCTGTAGCTGTCTTTGTCCTATAGAAATGCTTTTCTTCAGAGAAGCTGATCTTTGTTAATGTCTTGATTCTGTTCGCAAAGCACAAACTAGTGCTTAAAAAAAAAAAAAAGGAAGGAAAAATTGAAAAAAATAATAAAAAAAAAAGTTACAGAATGTTGTGTGCTAGGCCTTCCTTGCCGTAGCGGGCTGGGTGTGCCTGCTACCGGGAGCAGCTCAGAAGCTGGCCTTCCAAAACAGGTTTCTGGGCCCTCTGACTAGCTGTGCAAACCTTGACAACGCCCCATGTGTTTTCTGGGCGCCTGGTAGGTTTGCACTGGGGTAGGCGGAACTAAGGGGTGTGTCGGGAAGAAAAGGAAGCTGCACAGATGCACCTGCGTTTTCCTTTGTTGAATGAAAGTAACTGGCCCATCCCCTTACCACGGCCCTGTCTCTGAGGCCAGGAGTCCTCCAGACTGAATCTGTTCTCAGCTGCTCTTTAATTTTGCTGGTGGTGTTGGCCCTGGTGCTTCTGTGGTGCTGGGCTAAAAGAGGAATGGATACAGTTTGCATGGGCCTAGGTCACATCTTTTTCTTAGGAGGGTCAGTACTTTTTCCTTATGGGATGAGGTGGTGAAGTGGTGGGCTTGGTCCTCTTTACTCCCGTCTCTGCTTTCCATGAGCGTCAAACTGAAGTCAGTGGCCTGCCTGTTGCAGCCTGCGACTCTGTGGTTGCAGTTAGACCTGCTCCACTTTGCCTGTGAAATTAGCCTGCAGGGCTATGCACATCAGGAAATGCTGAGGAAAGAATTTTTGAAACTTCGTTAAAATCTAAGTCTAAGAAACAATCATTCTGTGATGGGTTACTATTAGGTTTTGCTTTTGTTTGCAACATTGCTAAGGAGAAGCGCTCTGGTTTCCGGTCTTAGATTGGCAGACCGCCTCCTAATCTGCAGTAAGACTCCAAAGGAAAGAGGAACATTGGCCATACAAACCTAGGAGCCAATGGAGCCATTCATTCATTGGGCAGATGGGACTGGCGCTGTGCTTCACTCAGCCCCAGAGCCCTAAGCAGGTTTGCCAGAAGCGCTCGTACATCCTCCCATCTCACCCAACCCGGACAGTCTCACGTAGGAATACGCTGACACTTGGCCAGCAAACTGCAGCATTGTGACCTCAAACACAAGGGTTTTGACAAGGATGAGGATGGTTTGCCAACAACAGCATGAGATAGTCAACTGAAAATGAGCAAATCTGAGCTCCTTGAGGACCCTAGAGAGACCAAAGTCGACTGGTGAATCCTGACGTCCAGGTTTTAACATCATCATCACTTCCTGTTATAAAAACTTAAAAGTTTTCTCAAGGTGGGAAAGAACTTGCAGATCATACATTGTAATTTTTTTTCATGCTTGGAAGCCATGAATGAAGGCCTTAGTTAATCAGAGTAATAATAATTTTATTTCCAAATTCACTTTTACAGCAACAGTCAGTGTAAATCATTTGTTAAAACACACAATACACTATATGGACATTCACAGACAAGAAGCTAAGCTACGAGGAGTTCATGTTCCTTCCCCCCTCCCCCCTTCAAAATTCTCAAAGAGATCACGGGACTTGCAAGTGCCGAAATTGTCCTACAAATTCATGGGGTCAAGTCCAGTAGGAGGTGAGACTTCACCAGCCAGTGCCCAGTGTAACCCTTTCCTAAGCTGAAGAGAAGTCAGAAGTCGGGAAACCAGAGATCTGTGGATGGGGCAAACCGATGGTCTCCAGCTTGCCCTTGTCCCCCATCTTGGACTTAACTCAGAAAGCAAAGATGGGGTGCGGGGTGCGAAAGGAAGAGTCTGGAACTGGTGGGAAGGTGACACTGCGGTGCTGACAGCCTAGAGGAAAGGATGCTAGGGTGTCTGAGAGGCAGGATTGTGGGCCTGGGGCCCCACCAGGGGGCAGTAAGCAGAAGACCAGAATCCCCAGAATGCACCGTGGAAAACCTGTAAGTGGAAAACACTTCTAAGGACTTCTAGCTCCATGGTGTCTCCCGCTCTAACAAATATGGTTGAAATTAAGAAGAAAAGGGTTACAAGGCAGTTTTAACTGCTGCACTCCAAGACTTCCCTTTACCCATGTTCCATATCTTACAGGTTCCTCCCCCCTCCCCCCACAGCACAACAAGCAATAGCAAACAGGATACAGAGTCTCACCACTGAAGTGGGTTTCAATGGAACTACTGATGAATGGGTGGAGAGCTTGAAGGGACCAGGTGTACAGCCTATCCGAGCCCCTCCAAGGACTTTGGAGATGGTGGAAGTGGGAGCGGGGAACGGGGCACCTGGGCCTGGGGAGATTGTCCTGGAAGAAGGTCAAGCCAGTGTCCCTTTGCAACCTACCTGCCACGCTGACCTGATAACCCCAAGCCGTGACCCAGAGGCTGACCCCAGTAGCCCAGCCAGCACTGAGTAGAGACCAACGGCTGTGAAGCTGGGCTCAGGAACTGCAGGCTGAGGACGTCACAGGAGATGGGCAGCCATCGATGAAGGGACTGCAGTTCACAGCCAATCTTGAAACCTTATCTCCTCTTGTCTTACTCAGAACCCTTCACTTACAAGAGATCTGGGACTCAAAGGACAAGGGGAGGGGGACACCCTCTATCTCCCTGTGTCCACCCAGCACTCCCCAGGGTAACTGTAAACTCCAAACAGGAAGTGGCATGACTGGACCTGGGCTGCCAAGATGCTTCCCTCCCCGGAGTAGATGGGTACTGCACAAGGCCAATCGGCCAAGGTGGTGGGAAGATGTCTCCCAACTTTGTGCCCTTTTCTGGCAGGGCACGCTGCCCCGTGACTGAACACCCCTGGGTACAGGAGGCCTGTACTCCTTACGTGGGTGAACTTGGTGAGGGGGCTGCAGGCCTCTTCCCAGTGGGCACTGGTATATGTGGGATGAATTGAAAGATCCTTGTGAGGCTTCCGTGGGCCTTCTGGGAGCTGTGACCAGGAAAAGTCCATCTTCACGCTGCAAAGCAGGCCAGTCACAGGACACTGCTCCCAGGGAAGATGGTTCATCCTCATCCTGTGCTTCCTTCGCTGCCCAGGTAGTCAGACGCCAGAATCGGGTGTGTGGGGTTCCAGAAGGAAGAGCACGATGACCTGGAGTCGAGTCCCAGCGTGGGGGACAGACAACTCGGGGTGGGTGAGAATCCACTTTACAAGTGTTTTTCAAGATAGGTGTTTTGTTTTTTTTCTTTTCGTTATCTTTGTCTCTGGTGAATCCAAGCATAAACAGACAAATCCAACTACAATGTAACAGGGTGGAGGTGGGGTGGGATGGGTGACACCTATGTATATGGTCAGCTGCTCCAGTGGGGACTTGGGGCCAGAACCATTTCTGACAGGGCGGCTCTCCCTTTTTGTTGTGTGAAGGGCTGATTATGGGGGTTGAGCAGTGGCTGGCTGGCAAGAGGCTCAAAGACACAGGCTAGGGAGGGTGTTAGTGGGGAAGTGGGGTTCAGCCTCCACGGCCAGCTCGGCATGGGAAGGAGGCCAGGCCTTCTGGAAGAAGTCAGGAGGGCAGGAATGTCGGATCACAGCTGCTTCACACCGCTGGGTGCTCTGGGTTCTGTGATGGGAGGTCATCAGATCCGGCATGGGAGACAGCAATTGAATGAGAGGGTCTGAGTGTGAGACAGGTCCAAGCTTTGAGCGTAACCTTTCCTTGGTTCAGAGTAGGTGCCCCGCCCCCACATCTAACCAGTGTCCATCATGGGGAGGGGGCGGTGAGGCTGGGAACTTGGGACAGGGTGACATCATAGGGGTACAGGCAGTGACTGGGCTCTGCACAGCAGACACGGGTACAGTGGGGCACACAGGTGGCTGCGGTGGCTCTGGGAGGGACGAGAGGCGTGGGACACCACCCCCACCCCCACTGGCCCCCATACACTCCAGAGATGCTGCAGCCCCAGGCGTGGGAACAGACGGCGTCCCCTACGAGGCACAAGTCCTTACAAAGACAACTGGTTAGCCCTAAAGTCCCAGGTCTGAGAGGTGGCCAAAATCGTGGCTGCAGTTTTAACCGTCTTCGGAACTCAATAAAATGGGGCTCCCATGGAGTGAGGGAAGCCTCTCTGCTCAGGACCCCCACCCTGCAGGGACGGAGGGAGAGACAGCTGCTTACAGGCCAAAGTCAGCCACTCTGCTGCCAACCAAGTTCCTTCTGCCACTGTCCCTACGGAATGGGAGGGCCGGGAACCTTCTTCCACAGGTCACCCATCAGAGGGGCCACACTGCCCCCAGCTGTCCCCAGCCCAGCCAAGGTGGCCCTTCCTGTGGATGGGGACAGAGTCTCCCCACCCCACCACTGCACTCATACTGGATAGTCAGTATCTGCCTGGGGCCACACGCATGCACCAAGGGGTTGGTCCTTTGTGGCTGCCCTGTGAGAAGCCCCCAGGGCCGGGTCTGCAGGTCAGGTCCAGACCCTTCAAACCCCCAGCAGCAGCTCTCAAGAGCCTCACCCTCGCCCTCTTCTGCTCAGAGGGGAAAAAAAATATCAAAAGGAATTGTCCCAGGAAATGTTGGGGGTGGCCATCTTTTTCAATGTCTTTTTAAAACATTTTATTGGTAGCAGCCCACCCGTCAATTTGGAAAGTTGAAGATTGCTCTTACTCCCCATCACTGGATTTGGAGTCCTCAGCCAAAGCCGAGCAACAAAAGCAGGTGGGGCCAGTGACCGATCTGTAAGGAGCAGCTAGGGGAGGGCAGAGGGCAAAGGGCCAAATCAGTATTCTTTTTTTTTTTTTTCCCACACTCTCACTCTCTTCTCTCCACGATTCTGGACCGCCCCGGGGCCTCATCACAAACCCTGCTTGGCCAAGGAAGCAGACACTTCCTCAGCTAGTGTAGCAAGCTGGGGCGAGTCTTCCATGTTGATGCTGCCAGTGGAGGAGACGTTGCTAAGGTGCCGTGGAGACGTGTCCCCCGACACCACAGGAGACTTGTACACAATTTCTGCGCCATGGTCTGTCTTGGCTTTGGCGTTCTCACGGAAGGTCAGCTTGTGGGTTTCGATCTGCAGAAGAAGAGGTGAGGAGGGCAGGTGAGATGGCCTGCCAGGGGCAGCGGTATAGCCCTGCCAACTGCCCCCTGAGGCCTGGACTTCAGAAGCTGGGGGACTGCTGCTGTTTTGTTTTTCAGTTGTGGCACTGTGAATCAGCACTGAACTGCGAATCACAGGGTCGGCAGTTCAAACCTACCAACTGCTCCTCAGAAACACTTATATACCGAGTCTCTGAGTCGGAACCAACTCAACGGCAGTTAACACCAACAGCGTGCACATGCAGCCTTGTCGGCTCAAGGATTAAATCCTCGGCTGCTCATCGAAAGGTGGACAGCTAGAATCTATCCAATGCCTCTCTGGGAGGAAGATCTGGCGATCTGTTCCCATACAGAGTAAACCCTGCCAAAAAAAAAAAAAAACCCATTGTGGAGTTGGTTCAGACTCACAGGAACCCTAGAGGACAGAGTGGAACTGCCCCGTATGGTGTCCAAGCTTTATGGACACAGATGGCTTTATCGTTCTCCTGTAGCGTGATTAGTGGGTTTGAACCCTCAACCTTTTGGTTAGCAGTCAAATGTTTTAACCACTGGGCCAGCATCACTCATCTACAACGATTATAGTCTAGGAAACCCTGTGGGGTTCTTCTCCTCTGTCACACGGGGTCACTATAGTTGGAATCAACTTGACGGCACCCAACAAGTACTACAGACACACCCTTTCCTCACTGCCCCCCAGACTCCAGCCCCCTGCTCAGAGACCACTGCATGAATGTGTATATAAATACCTACGGTCATTTAATATACACATGCTCTGTATCTTGGGTTGGTATTGTTTTATTGCACCTTAGTTTTTAAACTTAATATTCTCCATTATCAGTCCTCCTAGTGTGGTGCTATAGCACTGAACTGCTAACTCCAAGGTTGGCAGTTCAAACCCATCAGTTGTGCCTCAGAAACCCTATAGAGGGTCGCTCTGGGTCAGAACTGACTCAACAGACTTACCAACAGCATCAGTTTGTAAGAGGTTCCTTTTGCTTGATAGCTGCAGTATGCCATCACAGAAGGCTTGCTGCCCCACTGATGGATCATGAGGTTGACTCCACCCTTAGGCTACTACAGACTCCTCTGCAATTAAAAACCTTGTATCCCACCATCTCACACATGTACCCACAAGGGGAAGTGCCAGGGGCATTTGATTCTGATAAGTATTAAAGGAAGGTGTTAACGGAGAAGCTAGTGAGGATGAAGGTATGTTCCCAGAGCCCCTGTGTTCCAGCCACGAGCCACACAGTCTTTCCCTTTGAGTGATGAGCAACGTGGGGCAGCAATGGTACCTTACAGAGCACGACACGCACAAGCTGGTTTTAAAACAGAAATGGTGACACAGATAGGACTCCCAGAAGTCTTAGCTCTAAAGGGTCTCTGGGAAACAGAGAAGCAGAAAGCATCTGCTGGAGATAGATGGGGGCTGCCATCGGGTCACTTCTGACTCATAGGGACCCTGCACAGGGTTTCCAAGGAGGTGGTTCCAACTTGTAGCGGCCCTGCATAGGGTTCTAATTCATAGTGACCCTGTACAGGGTTTTTGAGGCTATAAATCTTTATGGGAGCAGAAAGCCTCATCTTTCTTCAGCGGAGCAACTGGTAGATTCAAACTGCTAACCTTGCAGTGAAACCACAAAAGTGCCTCTAACTTCAGACATCCATGGTCCCCGGGAAGAGCCCCCATTGCAGAGAGTTTGAATGAAGGTGGAGAGAGAAAGCAGGCTATATTCTGTTCATTTGGGGGCAGGGGGGTCACTGCTTTGAGAAAAGGACCCCTTCAGACTATCATATTTGAGGGGCCAATTTTTAAAACTTGTGGTGAGTGCGTTTTCACATCTTCACATTGCAGCTCAGTGGATAATGTTCACTGTGTTTAACCATCACCCCATCAGCAGCTCAGTGCCCTCTTTCCCCCGCCCGCCTGCCTCTGATAACCACGAACAAACTTGGATTGCTATGTTGTTGGGTGCTGTTGAGTCAATTCCAACTCATAATGGCCCCATGTGACAAGTGGCAGTCTAGGCTGCCATCTTCATGGAAACAGATCTTCAGGTCTTTCTCCCACAGAATTACTGGGTGACTCTGAATCACCCACCCTTCCATTAGCGGTGGAGCACGCACCCATAGCTCCACTGAGGCTTCACACACATGCCTGCTCTGGCTGTTTCACGGAAGTGACACCGAATGATAATGGGCTTTCGTGGCCGACTCATGTCACTGCCATGAGTGGCCATCTGGACACACGCTTTGGAGAAGAACATTTAGGCTAATGTTTTTTCAAAGCTTTGTATCTTGAAAAAAAAGTGACAGAATTCTGCGAAGGTCCCAAAATCCCTCAAACTAAAGGTGGCAAGGAGATGGACCTGAATAAGAGGGGTCTTCTGGGCCAGAACAGTAGCTTGGAGCCATCCCAGAGATGAGTTCGTCCCAGCAGCAGCCCCTGAGGGGCGCTGTGAGTAGGCACCTGGTGTCAGAAATGGTGAACATAAGGCACTGGGAAATCCTGGCTTGGGCTGGGATCTAACCACAGGCCTTCTAGAACCAAGTCTTGTTTGGATCTCGGAACCCCTCCAGATGCAGCTCTGGCCTTTCCATTTCACTGAAGCAGAAACAGAGGCTCCGCGTGCTGCAGACCTTTCCCAAGTCACACATCCATGCAGGGTCCCGCACACACACATGTCCAGGGACAGACCCAGGAATTGCCGCTGCCCAGAACCTACCCAGACCTGCTCAACAGACGCTGTGGAGGTGGGGAGTCCCTGGATGGTGTAAACAGCTAACTAACATGCTCAACTGCTAATTGAAAGGTTTGAGACTTAAGCCCAGTCAGAAGGCAGGCCTCGGGATCTACTTCTAGAAAACCAGCCACTGAACACTCCATGGAGCCCACAGTTCTACCTGACACCCGTGGGGTCTCTATGTGTTAGACTCAACTCCACAGCAACTGTTTTCTCACCCGACTGGAGGTGGGGCCCGAGAATCTCTATCTGTGAAGCTGTCTCCGGGCTGGGGACAGTTACAGATACAAACATAGCTTCTGTGGATAAGATTCTCCACTTCCAGGACTAGGCAGAGGCACTACACGGGGCTTCTACAATAAATATTTTGTTGTTAAGTGCTGTCAAGTTGGTTCTGACCCATAGTGACACCATACAGGATTTCTGAGGAGCGGCTGGTGAATTTGAACCGCCAACCTTGTGGTTCAAACTGACCTTTGTGGTCCAATGCTTTCGCTACACCAGGACTTCACAACAAAGAACAAATGAAATAGGCACAGATGACAATCCGGAACTTGGGAAGAAAGATTAGAGAAGTGGATGGAGTGCTTGCTGGGAGGAAAAGCTGAGCAGGGATGGCGGGAGAGGGTGAGTGACTGACTGGAAATGAGTGGCCATCTTGTGAGATTTGGCAACAATACGTGCGTAACCTGGCAGAGCAGACTTACACAGGCGGCAGGAAGGGTGTTATTCCTTTCTCATGCTCCCCTGGTGACCAGAGGTGTGGCCAGCTTCAATCCACCCCCAGCATAGATCCTGCTTTTTGTGAGTTTGGAGCCATGTGGTTGGGAGTCATGCCAGTATGAGACAGGGCTCAGCTGTACCTATTTGGGGCCTGGATTCAGGTGGGATCAGCTCCACACCTACAGAACCCACAGAGCCACCAGACCAGCATTTATGGTCCTAACAGATACTGAAGTCAGTTCCATCAAGGGCCTCCATGCACTGGGTGCCCTGAACATAGAGACCATTGAGGCCAATAGGAACTCACTCATCTAGGGCCAGGAACTCCGCTGTCACAGCCCTTCCACATCCACCTTGTGAGCTCCTTGGCTGGCAGGAGCCCCCCGCAGAGATTTTTCTTCTCGGGGGGTCCAACAGCTGCACTGTTTCTTTTGTTTGTTTTTGTTTTGGGGTTTCGGTGTTGTTTTTTTTTACCTTTTGTCATTTTCATTGTTTTTTGTTATTCTTTCCCCTCCTCCTCTTTCCATTCCCTTGAATTTCATCCTTTCTATCCTGGTTTAGGAGTCCAGGTGCGGCGCTGTGGGTTAATGAGCCAGACTGCAAAGCCGTTTGAACTGCAAGGTCGGTGGTTCAAGCTCACCAGCTGCTCCTTGGAAACCCTGTACAGGGTCGCTGTGGGTTGGAACCGATTCTATGGCACTAACAACACCATTCTGCTTTTGTTCTTCCTTTTCTTCTGTTTCTCATATTTTTTGTTCTTCCTTATTTTTTCTTATTTTCCCATTTTGATCTTTCTTTACTACTGTGTACTCTTGTCTTTATTTCTTCTCTTATTTTTTCCTTCTATGGTTCCACTTTCCTGTCTTTCTTTTCTCTTTTAAATTATTCTTAAGTGGGTTGTTTTTTTTTTTTCCCAATTTCTTCCTTTTATTTTCTCTTGTATGCTCAATTTCCCTGTCCCTCTTTTGTCTTTATAATATTATATTCTTTCTTTCTGGTTGCTGCCTATTTTTATTTCTTTTTCTCTCTTTATTATTTTCTCTTTTCATTGTTGGCTCCTTGTTTTATTGTTTTGTTTCCTTGTGTGTGAATGTGAGAGGGGTTTTCTCTTTCCTACCAGACAAGAGACAGTAACTGTGCCCATACAGCCCAGCCACAGCCATGATTTCTGCAACTCCACTCACTAGGCAAGAAAAGCCAGTACCAACTCCTATATATCTGATCAATGACAGACAACAGCTAGCACCAGCCAAACCCAACCTAAACTGAGGTCCACAAATGGAGAATGAGAATGAGAATCCTATACGCCCACAGGAGACAGGAGGTGAGAACCTAAGAACAAATCAACATATAATACAAATACGACAACCCTGCAATGCCCCAGAGACAACAGACAGTTTTAGCTCACAGAAAGAAACAATAGAGAATGATTTAGATAGATACAGAGCCAGAAAACATTTTGGAGGAAGAAAAGGTAATGTAACTAAGTAAGAATGATACTTAAGTACCTTCAAAGGATTGACAGAAAAACTGAGGAAAATAGGAACACAGAAAAAAAACTTTAGAAACATTCAGGAAAACCTTACAAAAACAGACAAAATTAATGCAAATTTTGAACCAATACAAAACCTGCAATTAGAAATCCAAAAGATTACTACTAAGATACAGTGAATGGGCAAAGGAGTAGATTCAAAGTAATGGAAACCCAGATTAGTGAACCTGAAGATAAATGTCTTAACACTAGTATGTTAGAAGAACAATCAGGAAAAAGAATGAAAAAATCTGAAGACAGCCTAAGAGTTAAGCGGGACACCATGAAGAAGAACAATTTATGGGTGATCAGAATTTCAGAACAGGAAGACACAATAAAAAGCACAGAGAAAATGTCGGAGACTTGTTGGAAGAAAGCTTCCCTAATGTCCTGAGAGACGAGAAGATACGCGCAAGAAGCTAACTAATCAGAAATCACCAAGACATATCATAATCAAACTGTCCAAAACCAAAGGCAAGGAGCGAATCCTGAGAGCAGCTCAGAAGAAACAACAAGGTGCTTACAAAGGAGAACCAACGAAATCAAACTCTGACTTCTCAGCAGGAACCATGCTGGCAAGAAGGCAAAGGAATGACATATAGAAAACTCTGAAAGAAAATAATTGCTAACAAAGAATCATATACCCAACAAAACTGTCTCTCTAATATGACAGCAAAATTAGGATGTTTTCTGATAAACAGGAATTAAAGGAATTTGTAATGACCTGACCAACTTTACCAAAAATGCTTGGACTGAGAAGCAACAACCGCAGACAACAACCCAACCATACATGACAACAACACCCAGAACTCAATCCAGCTATATTGTTGTTAAGTGCCCTTGAGTTGGTGCCTACTAATAAATAATGACAGAATAGTGATGAACCTGAGTGTATATACGTATGTGTATAGATATATGATTTTGGAGGCTTTTAAATCTTTGAGGGAGCAGAAAGCCTCATCTTTCTTCCACGGAGCAGCTGGTGGACTCGAACCACTGAACTTGTGGTTCGTAGTCCATTGTTTATTATATGGAGCCACCATGCTCCCCAATACAGATAAAGAAATGTTTAAAGTAAAACAAACGTACAAGACTGAAAATAGGGAGCCAGAGATGGTAGTTTATAACGACGCCAATACAAAGCAAGAAGAGAGTATAGTGTAGATACAGAACTAAATGGCAAGGAAGTCAATTAGATATTAAGCTAAAACATTGTATTTTTTAAATAGGAAAATAATAAGTTGCAGGGTAACCTCAAAGAAAATTAATACACTTACACAGCAAAAGAAAAACTGAGGAACATCAGAAAGATTGCAAAAATATTAACACAACAGAAATGAAATGAAAACTCCAAAATAAAATGAACCCATCACAGAAAATGATGTGGAACAAAGAGCCAAAAGTCACACAGCAGAATGACAGCAATCAATTCATACCTATCGATAAATACACTGAATGTAAATGCACCAGACAAGAGACAGAGCGGGAAGATAAGAAAACAGGCTCCTTCAATATGCTGTCTCCAAGAGACACATCAAAAAGATGGAGACAGCCTAAATACCCATCAACTGAAGAATGGTTAGACAAACTGCTGTATAGACAGTGGAATACTACGCAATGTTGAAGAATACTGATGAGTCTGTGACACACCTCACAACATGGATGAACCTGGAGGACACCATGTTGAGTGGAATTAGTCAATCACAGAAGGACAAATACTGTAATGAGACCAATATGGTTTTCTTAACAAAAGAATCAATCTCGGATGGTTACAGGAGTTGGGGGTCAGAGAGGGAAAATGGTTCATCACCTAGAGGTAGACACATGTTAACGTGGATGACGGGGCAGACAATATACAAGAGGAAGGTTAGTAGAGGAAAGATGAAGGCAGCGGAAGACACAGGGAGGAATGCAATAGTTACGGTGAATAGAGGTAAATGCTGTTAACTGTTGGTACTTGGAGGGGATTGCAATCGTAGCAAAGCAAAGTGTTTGGTTCATTGAGTGTAAAATTGATGATCTTTTCTGTAAACCTTCACTCAATTCACAATAACAAAGTTTTTAGAAGAAGATTCTTCACTTCCCTCCAGGCTTGCAGCTGCTGTAGCCCTTCTGTTTTCTTTCTTTTGTTAGAGACCCAGATGAGAAAATGTTCTGGTCCTGGGAAGCCTCCCATGTTCAGTGGTCAACAGGAACTTCAGGCCCACCATGGAGGCAGAGAGGCCAAGGTGTGGGTGTGAAGTCCTGGCCGGCTGGGGGCCACCCCTTACACTGACCACAGCTGCTGTGAGGTGCATCATGTGACGTTGACTCAGCTCACAGGGACTGTGTGTGACACAGTACTTCTGTCCCCCTGGAACTTTCTCGTTTGTGACCTTTACAGACAGGTCTTTCTTCAGTGGATTCAAACCACCAACCTTTGGGTTTGCACATCAAAACCAACAGCAGAAACTGGAGACTCTAGAAAGTGCTGGAATGCTGAGATCTCACCTGCCCAGCAGCCTCTGCATGGACCTTTGCAGGACTATTTCCTGTCAGCATCATGGTTTGTTCTAGTGGCCCTGTTAGAGCAAGTGCTTGCTCCAGGCTGCCCTGAAGACAGCTGCTGGCCCCAGTGGGGGACTCTACGTCACAGGACCCGGCATTGTCCTCACTTCTGGCTGCACGGAGAACACTCTGGGACTTTATGACTCCAGGTGCCCAAGCTGTCTCCCACATCAGTGAGCTCACACTCCCCAGGGTGGTGCGGAGGGGCATGCCATATCGGTCAGCACAGCTGGACCAGCTTCCGTCCACCTCACCTGCTATGGATTGAATTGTGCTCCCTCCCCCGGCAATGTGAATTAGAATCCTAACTCTTATACCTGTGGAAGGAGGCCCTGGTGACTCAGTGGTTAAGCACTCAGCTGCTCATCTAAAGGTCAGCAGTTCAAACCCACCAGCTACTCTGTGGGTGAACAACCAACGAGGCAGTCTGCTTCTGTATGGGGCAGTTCTCCTCTGTCTTATGGAGCCCTGGTGAGTTGGGATCCAGTGAAGGACAACAGCTTTGGGGTTAGGCTTTATACCTGTGGGTGTAGTCCCCTTTGGAATAAGGTTTTCTTTGTTTTGTTAATAAGGCCATCAGGTGCTCACTATAATCACTATGACATAAAAAGAGCAGATTAGGGACAGAAGAAAGTATAAACAGGAAGACAGACAGCTGCCAGGTAAAGGTCCTAAGAAAGCACGGAATGCAGGGGCTAAGAAGAAGCCCAGACATCCATCTCCCCCTCCTCCCCCACCCCCAGGCTGACAAGTGCCCCGACTCCAGACCTCTAGCAGCCTGAACTGAGAAAAAATCAGACATATTCTTTAAAACCCCTTGTTTGTACCATTAAGCTTTACCTTTTTATTCCCTCCGCCAGGGACGTGGGTGATGTTATCCAGGGAGCCGATCTTGGATTGGACTCTATCCTTGAAGTCCAGCTTCTCAGATTTCACTTCCACCTGGCCACCTCCTAGGACACAGTACACACAATACCCCCTTGCCATCTTTTTCTTCCGGTCAGTGGGCTTTGCATGCTGGAAACAAGAGCTGCACAGCAAAGTGCCCGTGGGCTGCTGGGGGCTCAGCAAAACCCAGGTCTGTGAGGGACACAGGCCAAGGACAACTTCCAGTCAGCTAACTCGTTTCCAAGCAGAGACCAACCTTTAGGAGTAGATAAAGCTCTTGTACTTAGAATGTTGTTGTTGTTAAGTACCATGGAGTCGGTTCCAACTCATAGTGACCCTGTACAGGGTTTCCGAGGCTGTAAATCTTTACAGGAGCAGAAAGCCTCATCTTTCTCCTGCACAACTGCTGGTAGTTTCGAACTGCTGACCGTGAGGTTCACAGCCCGATTCATAACCACTATGCTACCAGATAAGGAGCTCTGGTAGCGTAGTGGTTACAAATCGGGGTAACTATGAGTCGGAACCGACTCCATGGTACTTAACAATAACAAGCTAGAATGTGGTTTGTATACGGGTCAGTCCTTAGAAAGGGTTCAAAGTATGTTACTTCACTTCTCTAATCAAGGCATGCATCAGGAATTAGCCACCTCTTCCTTCAAACCCTACCTAGGTTTGAACTGCTAATCTTTTGGTTAGCAGTCAAGCACTTAATGCAAAAGTGAATTGCCATCTGTCTGTAATTCTACATTGATTGGGCACTAATGAACGAAGTCTTTCTAAGTCAACACCTTGTCAACCACAGCCCCACAAGACCCCCGAATAAAATCAAAAAGGCCAAATTACATACTAAGGAAGGAAAGGTCATAACCCCTTCCTCCTTGGGCACCCAAGTGTGTGAAATGTAGCATCAGGCCAAGTTGGCCTGGATCACTTTTCGGGAAGGACAAAGCCACTGGAGAAAGTTGCTCCCTGAAGACAGAATGTGGGAGGGTGGGCACCAACTGTGATGTTGTTTCCACTGGAACCTAAACTCTCACAAAATGTCCAAGAGCCTCGAATATAGACACATCTGGACTATGCTTCTGTTGGGCTTCTCTCTGCACAGGGTCTGACGGAGGGAGTTAGCATCTGTGCTGTGCTTCCAGAGAGTAGCCCGCAGTCCACGTGGCGATTTAAATGAATTCTTCTCACCACACTTCAAGTGGTCGCTTGTCACAGGTAGTTGTTGTCAAGTGATTTCTGATTCATGCCAACCCCATGTGTGCCGAGCAGAGCTATTCACAGGGTTTTCATGACTGTGACCTTCAGGAAGCAGATTACCTGGGTTTGAACTGTTAACCTTTTGGTTAGTAGTCAAGTGCTTAACTATTTGCACCAAGCAGGTTGGGCAGTACAGATACAGAACACATCTGTCAAAGCACAAAGATCTACGGACAGCGCTGTTTCCATACGAGATGGGATGGAAGTAAACATGGGAGTGTTGGGGGAGTCCCAATGGCATCATTCTCTGTTTACATACATTCTCTGTTCACAGTCAGAGCATGGCTGGTGAAATTGCTCCCAGGTGTGTAGCCTGCTTGGAGAGCCGCAGGTCAGACCGAAAACCAGCATCTCCCTCCCTTTCATACCGGTTTGGGCCATCATGGTCCTGCTCAGGAGCAAATCCCACCCTCAACACTTGATGACTAGCCAAATCTTTCCCAGCCCCTTCTGGGTGCCCCCCCACCCCCCTTCCACAAAGGCTACCTGGTTTATGATGGATGTTGCCTAATGAGCCACACTTGGAGGTCACCTTGCTCAGGTCGACTGGTTTGTAGACTATTTGCACCTGGAGATGAGAGAAAATAAGAAGAGAGAGAGAGAGACAAAGAGAACGAAGCAGAATTGTTTTATTATGAACAGTGAAACACAGCCATATAAGCCCAGGCTGTGTCCAGGCGGTGGTCCCATTCCCACAAGGAATTAATACTCTAGTCGTGGAAAACGTGCTGTCAGAATTCTAACTCTGGCCCAAGGGTTAGAATCCTGTCTTCAATCCCGAAGGAAAAAAGACGCTCACTCAGCAAGAAGGAGGGGCACTGTTATGTTGCAAACACCCCTGAGACTTCCTAATCCATTCCTTTTCCTGACATGAGATCCACAGACCAGGTTCACAGGATGCAAAGAACCGATCTGTGCAGCACCTACAAAGAAACTGCTAGAAAGGCAACACGGCGCTGTCTGCTGGCTCACAGGTGGGCTATGCCAGGAGAAGCTGTCTGCTGGCTCACAGGTGGGCTATGCCAGGAGAAGCATCCACAAAAAGCCAAACCTGAGTCCCCACAACGAGGGCAGTGCAGGTCAGTGAGCAGGACCAAGTGATCTGGACTCTTGACAGAGGGGACCAAAGTGATGCCGGCAGGACAGGCAGAGCCAGGGCAGGTTAGTAGCGCAGCAAGCTTACACGGACTTAGACACACACAGGAGGTCTGACAGACTCCAGGGCTCAGAACCAGGTCCTCAGGCCCACAAGCAGACCCTCTAAGCCATTCACCCTCCCCAGAGGCATGCTGGACCCTGAGCCAACCACTGACTCAGGCCAAATCCCACACCCCACAGGGAGGGCTGGGTCTCCCAGGGGCAAGTCTGCCCTGATTGATACTCCATGGGGCTCCAGAGACCCTTGGGGTCACTTGCACTCCTGTCCTGGAGTCACTTAGGAGAGAGATGGCTTCAAGGCCCAGAATGGGATTGACAAGGACACCAGGAAGCCAAAGGAGGCTTCTACTTAGATCTAAACCATCTGGAACAATCCCCAGTTCTTTGAAGTTCAAGTCCTGCTGACGTTTGCTGTTTGTTAAGGGAGAGTTGGGTAAAGCAGGCTGAGATGTGGAATGCAGCGGCTTGCGCACGAGGGAGGGTGGGTGGACACTGGCCTTTTGGTCTGAGTTCTGAAAGCAGGACCACTCGACTCTGGGGGCCAACCTGGGTCCCATGCCGACTCATGAGGCCTTGCTCCCTGGAGTTTGGAGAGTGTGAGTGTCATCCTGCTGTCGGAGGAGGGGTACGCACATCCCCCACTCACCCCTGCCCTATCCTCCAAGCACATGCTCTATGGGGTGGTGCAAGGCGTCTAGGGACTCCTCCCAGTGTGAGGGTGGCGGTGGTGTGCCGTGGAGTCGATTGTGACTCAGGACCCTGAATAAGGTTTCCAAGGTTGCAAATCTTTAGAAAGAGATAGCCTCATCTTTCTCCTGTGGAGTGACAGGTGGACTCGAACCGCTGACCTTGTGGTGCGTGTCACCCACTATGCCGTGAGGGATCTGCATGTAAATGCTCGTGTGGCCCAGGCTCCCTTCTCTTTTCCTTCACCCTGTGCTAGGTAACAGAGAGAGGATTTGGAGATGGTGCTGCCTCCAGGCTGGGAAGATGGAGGGGAGGGAACAAGTCATAGGTACCCAAGCCCAGACCTGGAATCCATTAAATCCCTGAGGCTGGCTGTGGGTGTACCTGCAACCCTCACTCCTGCATCAAGGACTCCTATTGCCAACAGGTAATGGACATAGGCTCCGGATGAAGTCCACAAAACTATCCCGAGAACTTGGACCCGGAGGATGACAGCGAACCTAGTGGGCATGTGGCAAGTGAGGATTCGAGTCCCAAACAGCCAGCTGACCCAGCATGGGGTGGCCCTCTGACAAGTCCCAGCCGTGCAGGAAGGGCAAGACATCTGTCTTGCCAGTGCCCCCAAGGTGTAGGCCATTGCTGGGGGGCCAGGACTGCCCCCAGTCTGACTCTCAGCACCAGCTCCTGCCTGCAGTCCAGTCCACTCTGGTCTGAGCCCCTCATCTGAAGTAGAGCCACAGGACTGGGCCCCTGAGAGCATCAGCAGGGGTCGGGGTGGGGGGACACCACAGACACCATGAGGAAGCGTTAATCAAGCGCGTGCTGCTCCGGGATGGAGCGGGCTCGGCGCGGGAGGCAGCAGCACATTGCAAGAATAAACCCTCTGGGCCGGACCGGACGCTGCTCGAGCCCAGGCTGGTTTCTGGAAACAGCTCCCCAGGTCCAGGGACCCCTTCAGAAACCACCCTTGGGTGTGTGTGTGTGTGTGGGGGGGTGGACAGGAGGCTCAGGTCTTGAACCTCCAGCTCCCAAGGTGTTTGAATGTTTGCTCACAGCTGGCAGGAGAGGCCGGGCATGAGCGGGGAGGGAGGTGAGCAGAGCCAAGTCTCTGGATGAAGTCTGCAAGACTGTCCTGAGAACTTGGACCCGGAGGGTGACAGTAAACCTAGTGGGCATGTGGCAAGTGAGGATTCGAGTCCCAAACAGCCAGCTGACCCAGGAACCTGACAGGAACCTCAGAGACATCTGGGCCTCCTCAGGCAGGCCCCTGGGCTCACTGCTTTATCTCATGGCCAGTGGGGGTGGAGCTGGTTTTAAATGTGAGCTGAGGCCTGGGAGTTGGGGTCCCTGCAAATGCAGGCAAAGAAGACCAGGACAGAGAGACATTGTTTAGCCTCAGGTGGGGCAGTCAGACCTTTGTGCCCATGATCAGGATGGGCCAGTGTCCACAGCGGAACCACTCGGGAGAACCTGCGAGGGGGAGGAGGAGGATGGAGCCCAGTCTCAGGTGCCTTCAGGCCAACCTGAAAGGTCTGAGGAACCCTTGAAAGCAGGTGCTGAGAGGTGCGTGAGTCCAGAGGGAGGGTCAACTCCTTCTATTCTACTCTGGCAGCACCCCCTGCCTCGCGGGCCATGGGACTCCCTTCTTACAGCATGGTGGTGGGTTTCTGGGAGCAGTGGTGGGCACCAGTGTGGGGGACACAGACAGGTCCTGAGCCTGGGAAGGATTTATTCTATGCAATGCCTCTGAAGTGTATAGATACATGCTGCTGCTGTAACAAGCAAACCACAGTGTGGTGCATTCGAAGTGTGTGTAAAGGTACTCACACTGCCACCTCCGGGGATGTGTTTGATATTATCCTTTGAGCCACACCTGGACTGGACGTTGCTAAGATCCAGCTTCTTATTAATTATCTGCACCTTTGACAGCCAGAAAAGAGGATGAGTCACACACCCCCGGACCTGAGTGGGTGGGACCAGGGCCCTGCAGAGGGGAGCTGAGGAGTCACCCAGTCCCAGCTGTGGGGTTTACAAAACAGATTCCCAGAAGGCAATTCTTCAGGTTACAAATGGACTGCGTCAGCCTTCCCCAGAGAGCGCTCCAGAGGTCTGTATGCCTGAATGGAAGTTCCCCAAGTTGGAACAGGGTCAAAAAGGTGGTCATTTTTACAGGAAAAAAAAATAATGATACAAAGTCCTCATCCGCACACTTATGAGACCCACGAGAGCACCACCAAGCTCCTGTGTCCACTCTCGAGCTGTTCCGTACGACGGGCACCTATGGCTGCTGTAAATAAGTCCAGCACCCACTGCTGACCTCGATTTTATTAGGACCTTGAGGAATCTGGCAGAAGGGTCTAGACTAGACTGTTGACCATCCTGTAGGTGATTCTGATGCCTAGCCAGGTGTGAGAGGCCCTAATCTTGTGGGCAGGACCCATGTGGCTTTGTGAAGACACACACAGACCCTCTTCAGAAAGGGAGATGGGGTAGCACCTTTCCACACCTGGCAGGTGAGGAGAGGAACTCAACCTGTGTTCCCCCATTCTTATTGTTTTTGGCCAGGTGGGAATGACTTGACTATTTCTGGGCAGTTCCTCCTGCTCTAAGGAGTCCTGGCGGCCCAATAGTTAACAGCTAACCCAAAGGTTTGAGGTTTCAACCCGCCAAGCGGCTCTTCCGGAGGAAGACTCGGTGACCTGTTCCTGTCAAAATGGAACCAAAACCAAACCCAGGACACTCCTTGAGTGGATTCTGACCCATAGTGACCCTTTAGGGCAGAGAGCAGAACTTCTCCATAAGGTTACAGGTTGATGAAACCTTCATGGAGGAGTCTGGTGTGGGACTGTAGGATGAGCATTGGTCTGCTAACCACAAAGTTGGCGGTTCAAACCTACCAGCTGCTCTTGGGAATCCCTATAATGGGTCATTATGAGTCAGAACTGACTTGATGGCACTTAACAACAATCTTTATAGAAGCAGACAGCCACTGCTTCCTCCCAAGGAATGGTTGGTGGTTTCGAACCACTGACCTTTCAGTTAGGAGTCAAGCACTTCAGTCAGCATGCCAGCAGAGCTCCTTCCTATAAAGATGACAGTCTAGAAAACCCTTTGGGCAGTTCTGTTTTGTCACATGTGGTGACCAATAAGGACATCTTCCAAGGAAGTCCTGACTACTAGACTGAAGTGGTTCAAACCCTCCCAATAGTGCATGGAGAAAGATAGGTGTGGGGCTGTGCTTTGCTTCACCAGGGAGGTGTTGGGATCAGGGTTTTGGTAAATAATTATTCTTACCCAGTTCCCCTAAAAACTTATGAAATTAATAGGCAACCATGGTTCAGAGGAGAGTTGGAAAATTCTAGACTTTTGGGATGATCCAACCCAGGATGGGGAACAGTGTGCCTCGGTTTTTATTAATCACAGACAGAAATATTTGAAAACTAGAATTCCCAATGAAAAACCAGCACTGTTTTGTATATAGCTATGAGAGCTCAGTTGGCTATCTCGCAATTCTGGGTTGGGCTGGCTGTTCTCAATGCCTTGTAAGGTCTGTTAGGATGGGCTGGGGCTGGGGGCCATGCCTGGCTAGACAGGCACACAGAGCTCATCCAGGGAGGAAAGGTCCAAACCCTACTCCAAGTGTCAGAGTCCTCGGCAAACGGAGAAACGGGCCGGAGGGCAAGGTTTGCTTGAAGCTACATTTTGTTCTACCTTTTGGTGTTAAATGACCTTTCTTTTATCACATTATGTTGTTATTGTTGTTGTTAAGTGCTGTTAAGTCTGTTCTGACTCATAGTAACCCTGTAGAGGGTTTCCAAGAAACAGTTGGTGGATTTGAACCCTGACCTTGTAGTTAGCAGTCCAGTGCTTGTTCTGTAGCATCACACAAGTGTCCTCAATCTGGCACTGTAGGGTAAGCACTGAACTGCTAACTGCAAAGTCAGTGGTTGAAACCCACCAGCCACTTCTCCAAAACCCTATACAGGCTCGCTATGAGTCAGAACTGACGTGACAGCACTTAATAGTTTTATATTGGATCACAATCTAATGTTTTCCTTAATTGTACTGGTATGAATTTAAAAACCGGGAGAACCAATTTTTAACCACTTCTTTTTCTTTTACATAAAAAAAAAAGCTATGCATTTTTTTTAAATTAGAAAAGTAATATAACATTATGTTTTAGAAAAATAGAGGCTAAAATGGTAAACCAAAACACTTTCTTGTGACCCTATTACAACTATTCCATATAAACAACCATCACTGCATTGTCCCCAGTCCTGCTGTGGCGCTCTGGGTTAATGTGCCAGGCTGCAAAGCCATTTGAACTGCAAGGTCGGTGGTTCAAACTCACCAGCCGCTTCTCAGAAACCCTATACAGGGTCACTATGGGTCAGAACCGACTCGATGGCACTTCACAACAACAACATTGCATTGTCCACTATTCGTCTGTTTGCCATACTTGTGTGTTGCTGTGATTCCGGAAGCTATGCCATGGGTATTTTTAAAACCAGCAGGGTCACCCGTGGTGGACAGGTTTCAGCTGAGCTTTTTTCCAGATGAAGACAGACTGGAAAGGAGGAGAGATGGACTACTTCTGAGTATTTAGTCACAGAAAACCTTATGAATAGAGTGGAACACTGTCAGCACCAAAATATTGAGTATTGAAACATGATGAAGAACACTAGAATACTGTCAGACATAGTGCTGGAAGATGAGCCCTGAGGTTGGAAGGCACTCAAAATCTGACTGGGGAAGAGCTGCCTCCTCAAAGGAGAGATGACCGTGATGATGTGAATGGGGTAAGTCTTTGGGACCTTCATTTGCTGAGGGAGCACAGCTCAAAATGAAGAGAAACAGCTGTAAGCATACATTAATAACTGGAACATGGAATTGTTGTTGTTAGGTGCCATCAAGTCGGTACCGAGTCATAGCGACCTTATGCACAGCAGAACAAAACACTGCCTGATCCTGGGTCAACCTCACTACTGTTGCCATGCTTGAGTCCATCGATGCTGCCACTTGGCCAATCCATCTCGTTGGGGGTCTTCCTCTTTTTCTCTGACCCTCCTTCACCTTATCAAACATGATATCCTTCTCCAGCGACTGGCCCCTCCGGACAACATGTCTGAAGTTTGAGAGACAACTTGGCCTCCAAGGAGCACTCTAGCTGCACGTCTTCCAAAACAGATCTCTTGGTTCTTTTGGCAGCCCGTGGCACTTTCAATATTCTCCAACATTGTAACTCAAAAGCACGGAATTACGAGGTATGAATCTAGAAAAATTGGAAGCTGTCAAAAATGAAATGGAAAGCATATATATATCAATACTATAGGCATTAGTGAGCTGAAATTGACTGGCGTTGGCCATTTTGAATCTAACAATCACATGGTTTACTATGATGTGTCTTGAAGTACAATGTTGTCTGTGATAGGATAATATCCATATGCCTTCAAAGACCAGTTAATACCACTATTATTCAAATTTACACAAAAACCACTAAAGCCAGTGATGATGAAATTGAAGAATTCTACCAACTTCTTCAGTCTGAATTTGATCAAACATGCATTCAAGATGTATTGATGATTACTGGTGATTGGAATGCAAAGGTTGGAAACAAAGAGGAAGGATCAGTAGTTGGAAAATATGGCCTTGGTGATAGAAATGATGCTGGAGACCACAGATAGAATTTGGAAGATCAATGACTTCTTTGTTGCAAATATCTTTTTAAACAACATAAAAGATGACTAGTCACATGGGCCTCATCAGATGGAGTACACAGAAATCAAATTGACCAAATTGACTACATCTGTGGAAAGAGACAGTGGAAAAGGTCTATATATCATCAGCCAAAACAAGGCCAGGGGCAGATTGTGGAACAGACCATCAATTGCTCATATGCAAATTCAAACTGAAGCTGAAGAAAATGAAAACAACTCCACGAGAGCCAAAATATGACCTTGAACATATCCCATCTGAATTTAGAGATCATCTAAAGAACAGATTTAATGCATTAGACACTAAAGACCGAAGACCAGAAACGTTGTGGGACGGCATCAAGAACATCCTACAGGAAGAAAGCAAAAGGTCATTAAGAAGACAAGAAAGAAGGAAAAGGCCAAAACAGATGTCAGAAGAGACTCTGAAACTTGCTCTACAGCATAGAGATGCTAAAGCAAATGGAAGAAATGAGGAGGTAAAAACGCAGCTCAAGACAAAGTTAAATATTATCACGAAATGTGCAAAGACCTGGAGTTAGAAAACCAAAAGGGAAGAACACGCTCAGCATTCCTCAAAGCGAACTGAAGTAAAAATTCAAGCCTCGACTTGCCATATTTAAGGATTCTATGTGCAAAATATCGAATGATGCAGAAAGCATCAAAGGGAGAGAGAAGAAATACACAGAGTCACTGCATTAGACAGACAGTCAATATCCCACCATTTGAAGAGTTAGTTAGCATATAGTCAAAAGACAATGAAGGAAGAAGTCCAAGGTGCATTGAAGGCAGTGGTAAAGAAGAAGGCACCAGGAACTGATGGAATACAAATTGAAATCTTTCAACAAACTGATGCAGCTCTGGAGGCACTTACTCATCTCTGCCAAGAAATGTGGAAGACAACTGCCTGGTCTACTGACTGGAAGAGATCCATATATATGACCGTTCCAAAGAGAGGTGATTCAATGAAATGTGGAAACCATCAGACAATTATAATACCCCATGCAAGCAAAATCTTTGCTAAAGATAATCCAAAAACAGCTGCAACCACACATTGACAGAGAACTTCCAGAGATTCCAGCCAGATTCAGAAGAGGATGTGGATTGAGGGATATCAGTGCTGACATCAGATGGCTCTTGACTGACAGCAGAGAATACTAGAAACACATTTACCTGTGTTTTATTGACTACACAAAGGCTTTCAAT